TGACGCCCCCCTCCCCCCTCCGTTCATCTCGCTGAGGGGAACCATGGTCAGATCACGAGGAGGCCCCGTTGCCTCGCACGAGACTGCGTATAGAGGACGCAGCCCTTGCACGATGCTGCCAGACAGGCACGAATAACAGCCGGTCCCGATTCTTTTGTCCAGTTGTGCCGTCTCAAACCAGTAACTGTCCCCAGTCGATTGACTTTCAGTCTCATAGCAAGCCCGGTAGTGTCTTGAAGGGTTTGAAGCGTTAAGAATTCTGACCATAGGCCTGTTCCGTGGCATGCCTAGGTCAATGACCTAGCACGACGAAGTGCACCTAGGGTGGAGAGTTGCACTGCCGTTTAGAGCAAACACTCAAAAGGCTTTCTTTCCGCATTCTTTCCCTCTAATCCTCCTCGCCTTTCGCAACATTCTTGCCGGCATCGCCGCAGCTTTGTTCGCGGCAGTCTGCTGCTCCCGCTCGGTGGCATTCACTCGCCGCACAAAACCCCGGAGGCCGTTCGACGGCCTGACGGCCGCTCCGGCAGGTGGACCCACCACAGCCCCAGACGTAGTTCGGAGCCCAGCCGCGGTCCAGCGCGCGACGCAAAAACTGGCGGCGGTCGCCGGTGCGTGCCGCGAGCGCGCTCGACGCCGGCCGACGGCAGCCAGGAGTCATCGTCCAGGCCGGCGACGACATCTGACCAGGCCACGGCCGCGCAGGGCGTCCGCTGGCCGCGGGGCACGGCTGTCGGCTGCGGCTGGCAGCGTCGCTCATGATGTACGCTTTAAATGACTAGGACTGTGGGAGGTGGTGGGCTACTTCCTCCAGTGCCTGTAACAGTTTGTTTAATAAGAGCTGTGGTCGGCTTTGGCGTGGCCCCTGCGCCCTTGTTAGATGGGCCTATCTGGACGAAGTCTGTCCGGTAAACCGGTATGCTGTTTGGTGGCGAGTCAGGGCGAGCCTGAAAATGCGGCACAGCTGCGCCACAGTCGTGGGAGCGAGCATTGTCGCGGCGTGAGAGCGCCACAGAAAATCATGTGCTTGCCGACTATAGCCAAGGTCTGATTTTCATGCGGTTACTATGGCTGTCAGGGGAAGGCTAAAGTCAAGCAGACGGAGCGTTAGGACGTGTTCCACCATTCAGCCAGTGGCCGTGAGAGGTCACGCAGCCTTGACTGGCCAGTAGCCTTACCCGAAACACTATTGTTCCTTTCACACTGATGAAGCGATCAGGGCAGTGCAAAATCACCTTTCTACCGGTAAAAAAGACATTCAGAATTGTCACGTTCATGCCCATGTGCGATTTGCTAAAGCAAGTTTGCAAGCAAGGTATGGCACGACTGCTGCTATGTCGACTACACGACTGCTGCTATGTTGACCACACGACTGCTACTATGCTGACAACACGAATGCTACTATGTCGACTACACGACTGCTGCCATGCTGACGCAATTCGCGACAATCGCGGCATTTTAACCGTTTGAGAGCATTCCATACTTATACCGTTATTGTCGACGAGCAGTGCTGCGTATTGATGTAGATAAGCATGGACAGTCTGCTATTCATCCACATGTTCTACAGGGAGGTCTAACTGGCAATGCAGCTCAGCTATAAAGCCCAGCTGAACGGTCACATCAGCTGAGACCAGCTTGACCCTGACTGTCAGCTGACACCGGCATCTGCCGCTTGACATCCATCTGACCCGTGGTGTGACAATGTATCACCTATCTCTGTCTGACCCATGGCCCTGCTTAGCCGACCCGTGGCCCCCTCTCTGACCCGTGGCCCCCTCTCTGACCCGTGGCCCCCTCTCTGACCCGTGGCCCCCTCTCTGACCCGTGATCCCATCTGTCTGAACTTGACGCCATCTTTCTGACCGATGACATCCTCTGCCTGACCTGTGACCCGCCCTGTATGACACGTGACCCTTCTGTGTGACCCGTGACCCGCCATGTCTGACCGGTGACCTTGCTCGGCAGATAAGCGGGGACAGTCTGTCGTACGGCTCACACCCGCCATGTCTGACCGGTGACCTTGCTCGGCAGATGAGCGGGGACAGTCTGTCGCACGGCTCACACCCGCCATGTCTGACCGGTGACCTTGCTCGGCAGATGAGCGGGGACAGTCTGTCGTACGGCTCACACCCGCCATGTCTGACCGGTGACCTTACTCGGCAGATGAGCGGGGACAGTCTGTCGTACGGCTCACACCCGCCATGTCTGACCGGTGACCTTACTCGGCAGATGAGCGGGGACAGTCTGTCGTACGGCTCACAGCCGGAATACGTGCACTACGTGAACCCGCCGCCGCTGGGCGGACTCGGGCCCTACTCCTGGGCCGACTCCACGTCCGGCACCTCACAGGAGGTACGTCACAGAGCGTCGCGTCACAGGCGTAACACAGGAGATGCGCTACATATTGTCACGTCACATGTGCGTCACAGGTGCGTCACAGGAGGTGTATCAAAGAACGTCACGTCACAGGCTCGTGGCAAGAAGTGCGTCCCAGCCGTGCGCTCAGGGCGCCCAATGACCAGCTGCCGACGGGCTCACGCGTCCGTCGGTGACGGGTCATCAGACCACCGAACCTAATCGTCCACAAGCTGCCTGCTTAAGGGTCTCTCTCTCTCTCTCTCTCTCTCTCTCTCTCTCTCTCCTCTCTCTCTCTCTCTCTCTCTCTCTCTCTCTCTCTCTCTCCTCTCTCTCTCTCTCTCTCTCCCTCCCTCCCCTCCCCCTCCCCTCCCTCCCTCCCCTCCCTCCCTCCCTCCCTCCCTCTCTCTCTCTCTCTCTCTCTCTCTCTCTCTCTCTCTCTCTCTCTCTCTCTCTCTCTTCTCTCTCTCTCTCTCTCTCTCTCTCTCTCTCTCTCTCTCTCTCTCTCTCTCTCTCTCTCTCTCTCTCTCTCTCTGCTTGCGAGGTGGTGATGGCGATGCCGGTGAGGGATTACGTGGACGGCGGAAATGTCATCTAAAGATAAGCGCAGCCCTCAGCCCTCAATCCGAGAATCAGAAGCATCGCTTTTTGCTGACTGTGCTTTCAACTCAGCGGTTTTGACGCACGAGTCGTGACTCGGTACATTGCGCGGCGACACTCACTATGCACAGCTGCACGCCTGCTCACTATTGTAACAAAGACCGCGCGTCGCCCAGTCGATCTCCACACCGCCCTGACGCCCCCACCCCTCCCCCCTCCGTCCCCCCCCCCCCCTCTCTGGTCCCGTCCGTCTCTGCGGTTGGGCCGCAGGCGCCCCCGCCCCTCCAGACGACGGAGAGGGGTGGCGATTCGTGACGCCCCCACCATTCCCTGATGCTGGCTGGCTGCCCACGAAGCTGTGCGGCCAAGCCATGTCTTATTTGCGCGGCGGGCCGCCGCCGCAGACGGCGCGATAGGTCCCACTCAAGATGGCGTCCTGTGGTTTCAGCTGTACTTCCGAGGACAACGCAAATACTTCCGGCGGTCGTTCTGCAGCGTCTGCCTCAGCGTCTCCATAGTAACCGTGATTATAGCGGTGATCGGCATTGTCGCCATTGCGGCTTATCTGGGAGGTACGCCGGTGTTTGTCATCATAGAGGCAATCGGTACATCACACATGAAGAGTTTCAGAGCAGTGGATTAGATGCGTAAACAGTACGCTGCATCGAGTGTTTTACGTCACATCACGGCGGATTGGATGCGTAAACATTACACTGCGTTGAGAGTTTTACGTCACATTAGCGTTTTATTATTGTGCCAATTATGTTATGTAGTTCCGTTAAATTGTATCGCTACCATGTCAAGATAATACGTGATTGCTTTTAAGCTCGAGCAAGGAATGACATCGACCATGTTGCTCATTCACTGATCAAAAGCTACTTTGTGCAATTTTTGCAATGGGAAATATTGTAACGCGCGTAATGCTTTATTTTCAGTCATGACTACAGATGATAGTGAGGCATTAAAGTGTAAGTAGAGTCATTTCCTTCTTCTTTTCTGATACTGTGATATTTTTGGAGACGAAAACACACATGCATCTAAATGTAGGATCTTGGGAAAAGCACATATATTTTGCAAAATCATCGTCATGATTTGGATGGAAATCGCTTTCCCCCCCGTTTTTCTTATTGCTGTTCTGGTACTCCTTTTGGCAAATGATTGTGAGTCGGATTCATTGTGCTAACAAAATGACAAATTTTGACTTGCGTGTACCGCCTGAAGCAAGTCCATTTTTTTCATAAATGCATCAACGCTTCCTGCCGCGGCCCTTGATCATAACGTTGCATGTACTTTGGGCACGAGAGACACGTGTCTACCAATGTTTGCGACGTAAACATGTGCGATGTAAACATGTGCAATGTACGCATGTGCAATGTAAACATGTGCAATGCAAACATATGCGACATAAACAGGGGCTATGTGCGTATTTGCAGACGAGATGCAGTACACTGGCAAATTCCGTGTAGCCCGGGGTGATTTCTTCCATCCGAGTTTGTCCGACACCACGTCTGCCGACTTCAAGGACAAGGCCGAACGCTACAAGAGGATGGTGAGCTACTGGCGCTGTCACAAACTGGTGTCTTGCATCAGGTGGGGCCATAAATATGTCAGGCAGCAGATGTTGGTCGGAAGTCAACCACTAGCGAAGGGATCATCATCCCACCTTTATGACCAACAATTCCAACCCATACCTGAACACAACGTAGATGACCCCGTCACCCTGCCATCGGCCCACCGTCCACAGCGGATGGTGCGAGCGCCAGTTCCCTGTCCGTCGCTCCCCCCACGGCCATCCCCAGCACGGTCTCCTCCCTGCCGTGGTGGCAGCCGGGCCGGCCCACTGCGGAGACGCGGTCACATCACCACAAGCCGGGCCGCCGGCGGGCCGCCGCCAGCACGGTCTCCTCCCTGCCGTGGTGGCAGCTGGGCCGGCCCACTGCGGAGGCGCGGTCACATCAACACAGGCCGGGCCGCCGGCGGGCCGCCGCCAGCACGGTCTCCTCCCTGCCGTGGCGGCAGCCGGGCCGGCCCACTGCGGAGACGCGGTCACATCACCACAAGCCGGGCCGCCGGCGGGCCGCCGCCAGCACGGTCTCCTCCCTGCCGTGGCGGCAGCTGGGCCGGCCCACTGCGGAGATGCGGTCACATCAACACAAGCCGAGCCGCCTGCGGGCCGCCGCCAGACACCCTTCCGACGCGGCAAGCCGTCCACCGTCCGCTGTTGCAGGACTGGGCTGGGCTCGGTCGGCTGTAGCGCTGCAGACTGGTTCAGAGAGGAGGCCAGAGGCGCAGCCAGAGCCTTGACAAGGGGGGGGGGGCATATGGTTGATGAAGGCCTCGCAAAAATCACTAGATATGGCCGATTTGTTATTGAGGATATGTTTTTATATTCTTCTACAACTGGAATATAGGTCAGACGCCACCGCGAGATCAGTTCTGCGATATGTTAACAGTACATAAACTGACAAATCCGTGTTACGTAACTGCATGAACTTAATCGCCGGGCGCCCTTCACTTTACAATGGTCTAGTCGATACTTTTAAATCGAAAGAAATCAAAAGTTTTTTTCAGTATTCTTGTCTGGGTTGTACGTAGATAGCAAGGATTTCGCGAATATAGGTTGAAGATCAAAATGGGTCAACAATTTGTATCAACATGACCAAGCCACGTTTGTCTGCATGTATTGAACAATCGGTCAGAATTGATTAGTGGTACAAATTATATAACGTAGTTTTGAGCATGCGCGCTCGCATATCTAAGAAACAAGAACTCGACGCTAAGCGCTGCAGTCTCCTAGGCCGCGCAGCGTCGGCCCGGTGGCTAACACCAGGCAGTGCGGAACGTTGCCCTATGTTACCTCAATGTGAGTACTCGTCGTAAGTTCCCATCTTTCCTTCAATTGTCAGAGAGCCGCGATGAACGCAAGAGACCCTCTGCCATTCAGGCTCCCGTCCCCCTCCATGTTGAGCAGATTTTCCACTGACCGAATCGAGGCACCTTGTTGACACAGAATGCTCTGTTAGGCACTGTGGGACCCTGAACGATACAGGAGCCCGACCAGTGTAAATCGCGGACCCGGCCTTGTCCCCGCTTGAGAAATGGGACCCCAGAGCTCAGACTACCACGGAACCGACTCTTCGTTGTTCGTGATCTCCTGTCGAAATAGAGGAGCGCTCTGTCTCAGGCGGCCTTATCAGTGCAAGACATCATTTAACTCACATTTGAGATCGCGGCCCTATGAGCGGAGGTCCTTAATGTGAGCTACAGCCAGCCCTTTGGACCCTTCAGTTATTCCACTGGGTCGTTGATCTTTGGCCTCGAGAGTTCCTTCAGCCCTTCTTCGGACCCCTCAAGCATCGCTCCGACTCGGGGTCACTTGCCGCCACAGGCCCCCTATTCGGCACTGTGGCCCCTAACCGACACAGGAGCCCCTCATTGTGTCAGGAAACCCGGATATTGAAAATCGCTGACCCCGGCCTCGTTTCTGCGTGGAGTAATGGGTTTCAAGAATTCAGACGGATATGGGGCCGACTGTTCCATGGTCATGATCTCTGACCGACTTCGACACCCACATTGTCTCAGGGGCTCCTCAAAAGGTGCTAGAGGACCTCTGACTGGTATTTCAGGTCACAGCCCTACCAGCCGCGATCCTTTATGTGACCTGCAGCCATACCTCCGGTCCTTATGTGACCCGCAGTCATACCTTCGGTCCTTATGTAACCTGCAGCCAGACCTTCGGTCTTTATGTGACCTGCAGCCAGACCTTCGGTCCTTATGTGACCTGCAGCCAGACCTTCGGTCCTTATGTCCTCTCACCAGGCCTTTGATCGTCGGTTCCGGGCCGGCGGCGGACGCCCGACCCGGCAACGCCACCCAGCAGCCCGTCTGCTGCCGTTATACCGTCTGTTTACACCGTTAGACCCTCCAATCGGGCCCTTGATCGTAGGACTTGTGGGCCTCCTAGGCGCTTCAGGGCTCCTCGGACACTGTCTCTAGCCAAATCGGGGACCTTTGACCACATAGGGCCCCTGTTAGGCGCTCTGGGGCCCCGAGAAATGTAAATCGCTGGCTCCGGCTTTATTCCTGTTTGGGAAATAGGCCCTCAGGCCCATGCCTCCACGGAGCCGACGGTACGTTACTGGTGATGCCTGACCGAAATATAAGCCCTTATTGACTCAGTGGGCCCCTGATCAGCGCGCATGACCCTCTGGCTGGCATTAGGGTGTCCGGCCCTGCCGGTCAGGGCACTGAATGAGGCCTCCGACTGGCTTTACGGGCCTTTAGGGCCCTCAAGTTGGGTCCTTAATCGCTGGTTTAGAGGTGCCCGAAGAGCTCCTCGGAACCTAAAGGGGGAGGGCACGTGCCCCTTGTGCCCCCTGCCTGCGCTACTGGAGGGGACTGAGCTGGGAGGGACGCGCAGGCACAGCTGGACGACCAGGCTCCCAACGGGCTGGCTCCTGCAGTGCCACAGCCAGCCGGGCCGAACGACGGGGGCCGAGGCGGACAGCAGGGACAACCGCGCGGGGGACGATACGGACCGCCGGCCAGTATGGCTCGGGGGAAGACAGGAGACGTGCCCACGGGACGATACAGTCGATATGGCAGAGTCGTTCTTTGTCCGTGCGACTGTCGCGGTTATGACATGCAGCCTCCCGCAGCGGCTGACTCTGATGGTTATGACATGCAGCCTCCCGCAGCGGCTGACTCTGATGGTTATGACATGCAGCCTCCCGCAGCGGCTGACTCTGATGGTTATGACATGCAGCCTCCCGCAGCGGCTGACTCTGATGGTTATGACATGTAGCCTGCCACGGAGGCCGACTCTGAACCCCGCAGGCACGTAATGCGCAAGATTCTTGCGATCCAATGTTATCCGAAATGCAAGATCACAGTGCTGAGAAACAGCGGCATGCCCCGGCGTGCCGGGAGTATTAGCTCTGAGCTCTGATCTCTGCTCTGAGCTCTGATCTGATCTCATCATAATCTGATCTACTTCATTTGACCTTTCGGGCGGCCTCAGCAGCATTCCTCTCCGCCTGGCGTGATATCACAGGCAAACACTGACCGGTGAAACTGGTTTTACCTCCAGCCCTGACTCACTGCCGCTGCGGGCGGGACACCATAACAGATCCCGTCCCGGCACTGGGTCACCGCGCTGGCTTCGCGCCGTTCCGTACGGTTCGGTGGCCGGCGCCGCCGGCAGACTCTGGGTCAGAGGCCGGCTGGCAGCCGTCGCCGCCATCGGATTTTCCGAACAACGAATAACGGGGTCAGCGGGATGCAAATTCCGCCGGCTGACGGCGCCGGTGGTCACTTTGTCGGCGGGTCTGACCCGGTGGCGACGCCCGGAAGCGGCCGCGAGAGGGGCGGCACACGCGGCTTTGTCATCCAGGAGTGGTCGGTAGCGGTGAAGGACAGACCACGGTCCCTCCCTGACCTGCCACCACGCTGGTCGTTGAAACACACTACTGACGGTCGCTGACGCCGAACGGACGGGAAGTAACGGGACCCGGCCGAGCGGAGACGCTCGTGGCGCAGAGACGGCGCCGGCGCCGCCTGTCATGCGCTGCAGACCAGCAGCGGTGGGGGGGGGGGGGGGGGCGAGAAAACACGTCTGAGTGCTGGGTAAACAACGGCTCGTTTACAAGCACGCAACGCTGTCAGGCCTGCCGATATTTCTGTGCACAGAACAATGCATAATAAAACAGAGGGCCAAAATCCAAAACAACGCCACTCTCTTAAAATTCATGAACACGATTTATTTCGGATGTTGGCTACGTGGAAACTTGGTAGGTAGGTCCATTCTTGGAGTTGTGGCGTGTGTGTTTGACGGAAGGTGAATGCCGCGAGGGGGATAATGTACACAAGACATACGATATATTTACATATGATGTCATAACGTGTACATGTCATGCTACATTCATATGTATACAAGAGCTTCCATCAGTACGATTTAGACAACTCGAGCAGCCCATCCCTCATGGGCCGATTCGTTTGTCCCCAAGGATTCGTGTCACATACATTTGTCCCGAAGCAAAGGATTCGTTTCACATGCATTTGATATTGACCATTGAATGTCTGTAACTCCTTCATCCACAGATTGAAACTCTGTACGGCTACAGCTACCTGTCAGACGCATTCCGACGGGCATCCGTCGAGAGGTTCGGCAACGACTCCCTGACCGTGTTCTTCAGGGTTCATCTCGACCGGAGAAAGATTCCCACGTAGGTCACTTTAAGTATTTTTTTCTTCTGAGCACGGCCAGGGGTCCCAGACTTAAGCGCTCCACTGGTGTGTGCCATTTCCCCGCGTCACTCATTGGAGACATGGCCATCTCGGTCTAACGCTCTTCACCCCGTTCCAGTCGGTGACTGCTCGTGTGTTCCATAGTTGCGCGAGATGAGGTGTTGCGTCGAGGAAAGTGGCTCATTTCACGCTGCCAGGGACACGTTTCACAACAGCTGCACGCTCTCTGGTTGCGCATTTCTCTGCGCATCAACTATTTTAGCTTTATCAGTCGTGAATGATCCTGAACATAAACACACGGAGCAGGAGCTGCATCCCCTTCGTGGCAATAGCAATGCCAGCTACAAACGGAGCGTTGTTCGGAGTGTTGCCCTCATCTAGTGTACTAGTAAGCACACCTGAAATAAACGTACATACTAACACACCAGCTGAGGGCGATATTCCAAACTATTATCTGCCGTGGCACTTATGCCCCGCCTCAATCCTTCCACAAAACTACGACAGCTATCGTGCCAAATCCATAACAAGATGTGTCCAAAACGTTTGCGTACGTATGCTACAAAAGTGTGAAGGGGTCAGATGCATTGACGAATAGCATGGGATACAGGGACCCGAAGTCCCGCACAGCCGCTTGGTGCACAGTCAGGGGCACCGTGACAGTGACCCTGGCAACCGTACAGTGACCTTGACCACCAGCTCCTGCAGCTGCCGTGGTCTGTTGTCACTGCATCACAGTGCCTGTTTCCCTGGGCCCCAGACACAGCTGTCTTGCAGAGAGCCCCGAGTTGTCGCATAGAGGGATCCCGAGATGTCGTACAGAGAGGCTCCGTGGTGTCATATAGAGAGCTCTGAGCTGTCGTACGGAGAGACTCGGTGGTGTCATACAGAGCTCCGAGATGTCGTACAGAGGGCCGCCGAGCTGTCGAACAGAGAGCCCAATGCCCACGAGGCGGAGGAGCCCAACGGCACTCGTGAACGCTTCGTTCGGCCCCAGTGGCTCGGACGCAACCCTGGAATTAGCCAAAGCCTAAGCACATTTTAAAAGAGCCTGTACTATTCTGTAGGTGCGTTGGTAGGTAGCCTCACCGACGTCGTTTCTGAGGTTACAGGAACGGCAGCGTCCCATTGATCGGTTTACAAACGTTTGGCATCACCCCTGTAGAGGATGTGCCAATCAGGACCAGCTTAAGCATGTGACCAGTGGCCAGGAGTTTGGCCAGGAGGGGCAACCCAGGACATTGGAGACATTCCACCCAGGGCGGTTCCTTTCCGTTGCTTAGAGACCCTGCTGTCGGAACGGTGGGACATGTTGGTGCTCTGGATCTTAGTTTGATGCATCGTGGGCCTGTTTGGTATGTTGAAAAGGTCGTGGAGGGGCCATCTAAACCGCTGAAAGGTGCTGCGGACTTTACCACAAGGAGCAGGGGGGGGGGGGGGAGGGGGGCATAGCTCCAAATGATACCCTTCTTCTATATCCCTCCTATCTGTCGTACCACTGCACATGCATGTTTGTAATCTCTTGGCATTTGGAAATGCCGGCAGACAGAGGCGGAGCCCGAAACAAACCTTAATAAGCCACGTGAAATCTAAGCCGCTTTGTGGCCGCAGTTGAGGCAGCGAATATGCGGAAATGGTGTAGACACCGTGCCACTGGGTGCGCTGTAAACCACCGCAGGTGAAGATGAGCCCGTGCCTGGCACAGACAGGACCCAACCACCAACGATACTGAGCTTGCGCCGAGAAAAAACACTGAAACCGGCCTGAAGCGGCGTCCCGGGCCAAAACCTGGAGAGCAGCGGCATGGACCTTGGGCGAGTGTCCTCACAGACGAGTCGCCCTGCCGGTAGGTCCGTCCTCAACACGGAGGAGGCGGTGCGGGACGTGGTGACCCAGGAGGTGATGTCACTGGAGCCTCGCGCCCTGCGTGCCGTCACCGTCGACATCGACAGTATCGAGATCCAGCGTGAGTAGCTGACGGTGGCGGCGTGGCGCTCCTGCGGAGGTGCGGTCCGTGGCGTTGATCCAGGAGGCGACGATTGGTTCAGATAGCAGGCAACACGCGGTGAGGGCTCCTTGTAATGCGCTTGTGCCTGCCTAGTGTAGTGATAGCGTGGTGAAAGCATGCCGGGCCGCAGTGAGAGCGTAATGAGCGACGTACGTTCCCGCTACATCTCTCCGCCGCCCGCAGCCGCAAGTGCCGACACGGGCGGCCAGCACGCACACGCGCCGTAACCGCCTCAGCGCCGGGTCCCTCCGCCTGGTAGGCTGGGCGGGAGAGGGGGGGGGGGGGGGGGGAGGTGAGGTCTCAACCAACATCACGACTAGGTCAGCTAGTTCCGGCAGCCAGCGTGCGGAACTGACCGCCGTCGCTGGCCGGTCTGTAACTGATCGAGGGGTGGAGGTGCGGCCGCGCGGCAAGGTCTGACCGGCGCGAACAGCTCCGGCCGGTTATGACGGGTCACCGATCCGGCGGTGATGGGTGTGACCTCTGTCGGCAGGGGAGAACAAGGAAGGGGCGTCAAACGCGGCCTTCATCGCTGGTGGTGGCGGCGGCAGTCGGCTGCAGGAGAGCGCGGCAGAGGCGCCGGCGCGGGCCGCGACGGCCTCACCCGCCGCCGAGCCACCCGAGCGCCCGGCCGCCTCGTCTTCGTCAGCTCCACCTCCGAGCCGGCCCGAGGCGTCCTCCTCCACTGCCAGGCCGCGGCCTGAGGTGGCCCTCTCCAGACCTGAAGCGGCGCCGCAGCAGACGGCGCCGGTCTCGCCCGCCGACCAGGAGGAGAGCGTCACTTCGGAGCCAGCGGCGACGCCCGCCGTCAGCGTCGGAGACGACGTCAAGGCGTACGACGCTGGGTTCGACCCAAGCGACGCGGCCCGGCCGGCCTTCGAGGACCAGGCTGTGAGCCAGGCGGAGACACAGGCCAGTCGTGAGCCCGAGCCGCAGGGCGCGCCGACGGAGAGCGTCGAAGTGACAGTTGCCGCTGAAAAGCCCGAGATGTCGCAGGAGATTTCGCACGATATGCCGGAAAACATGTCGGAAGACATGTCCAGCAAAATGTCGGACGGCATATTGGGCGGCACGTCGGAAGACTTTACAAGCGAGGCGACCACGACGGATGAGGTCACCTCCACGGAAGCCATCATCAAGGCTGACATGACCGAGACTCCGGCTGACGCTGGGGCAGTCGTGGAGGGAGACGCACCGACGACAGCAGCTCCAGTCCTGTCCACTGAGCCGCCGGCTGAATCGGCTCCGGTGACGGCGGACTTACTCGGCGATTACACGGAACCTGAGCACGCCGAGCAGGACTACGACATCGCCCGTGGAGACTACGCCGATGACGTGGCCACGGAGCTGGCGCCGCTGCTAGCCGCCGGGGTCGCGCTGGGGGTGGACCGCGTGGGCTACGTAGACGCCACCGCGGCGGGGAGCGTGCAGAGCGCGCTGCCTGCCGGCCAGAAGCCGTACTACGCTGACGTGCAGGTGGGCACCGCCTACTTCGGTGGTCTGGCTCCGGCGCCGAGCGGCCGGCCAGTCGCCCCAGTCGCGGGCAGCCCCAACGTCGCGCTGGCGCGGCCAGAGCAGCCTGAGTTGGTCGAGGGTCCGGCGGCGTCGGCCGCGGTCCGACCAGTGGTGGCTGGCGACGGGGGCCCCGTGCGGCCGCTGTACGACTACAGCCCGTGGAACCCGATAATCCCGGCGTTCGCGCAGTCGCCCAACCCAGTGGAGCGTCCGGCGGCCCGGCCGCGGCCTGGCGCGCCACTCTTCTCGGAAGGCGACCGGACGGCGGCGCCGCGCGGCGGCGGTTACCGCTCGCCGCAGCCGAGCCGGCCCAGCCCCGCCGGCCAGAATGGACCCGAGCACTTACTCCAGGCCGGAGGGCTCACGCGGGGCACGGCCGAGCACGCCGTCCCTGCGCTTTCCGTGGCGCCGGAGGCCGCGACGAGGCGCCCGCTGACCGCTCAGGAAGTCCAGGCTCCGCAGCTGGCGCGCGCCACTCCGGTGCCGGCGGCACTGACGCCATCTGACTTCCCGATACCGGAGGATCTGTCCGTTCAGCAGACGCTCACCGTAATGCCCAAAGTCAGCGCAGAAGCTGCCGCACCCACTAGCCGCGAACCGGACGGCGCAGGTCTGCCAGCGCCGCGGCCCACACCTGGCCGCTCCAACGACAGCACTCCATCCCCCTTACCTCTCCCCAGCGTCAGCGACCGGCCAATCCCAGAGTGGCGGCCCACGGTGGCGGCCGGCAGCGTGCTTTACCGCACCGAGTTCAGCACGTCAGAGGTGCGCGAGATGAGTACGGCCGAGACGCCGGAGCCGCAGCGGCGCATCGTCAACGGCGGTGCGCAGATGCTGCTGCTGGACCCACCGACCGCGCAGAGCGTTGACCGCATGGGCATCGCGTTCGCCGAGCGACGGCCGACGCGGCGCCCGATGGTGGCGCCCACCGCGTCCGCCACGACGCAGCACGTGCTGGTCGTGAACGCGGCGCCGGTGCCGATGAGCGACGCGCCGCGCCCTCTGGCGACAGTCACGCGGCCTGCCCTGCAGCCGGTGACGTCCTACTCGGGGGTGTACCCGCCGTCGCGCCCCAGGCCGCCGTCAGCGTTCGCTCAGAGCACGCTGCCACCGGCCGCAGAGGCTACTGACACGGAGCCATCGCGGCTAGAGCGGGACGACGAGGACGCCGCCACGCCGACGGCGCCGTCGCCGACCTCGGCGGCGGCAGCGGCGGCGCCCAGTCGGGAGCAGCTGCTGAGCCTATTCCGGCTGATCGCGCTGCGCTACCCGGCGCTGGTAGCCAACATGGACCAGCAGCAGCTGCGTGTGCTGCTCAACGACGAGGAGGCGCGCCGCCGGCTGCTGGCGCCATTCATCGGCCAAGACAAGAGCCGCACACCGTCCGAGCACCAGCGCAACAACACAAAGTTCCTCGTGCTGGAGAACATCGCCGTCAACAGCACGCGCTCCAACCGCCGCGGCAAGAGCCACGCGCTGCCGAGGCAGCTGACGCACCTGCCGGCCCTGCCGCCGCCCACGCGGCGCCCAATCAGCGCCAAGACGCTCAACAGCTCCGTTCTGCTAGCGCTGGCAAACCTCACGCGCGTAAAGGTGGCCGGCGGGCTGTCAACCGCTACCCGCGCGCCATCTGCCAGCAGCCTATCGGACCGGCTGCTCCAGCTGACCGGCTTCCCGACCCGCGCGCCGCCGCGTGGCGTGCACACCAGCACGCCGCTCAACTCGCGCGAGAAGCTCTCCGACAAGCTGATGCGCTTCCACGGCGAGCGCACGGACGCCAACGGAGGTGAGTCGGCGCCGGCGGCGCCGCGTGCGCCGCTCTTCGCCGCACTACGCGCCACGACGGCCGCACCGGCGCGTGCCGGCCAGCGGCAGCAGCTGCTGCGGCACACCACGCGGCTCCCCAACAGCTCCCAGGTGCACGTTATCCGCTACCGCGAGGGCGAGAGCGTGCAGGACATCCTCGACAAGATCTTCGCTCGCTTCCACAAGCGGCCCGGCCAGAATGAGTTGGACGCGCCCGGGCCGCAGAAGCCGGCGCCGTCACCGACACCGGCACCGGCGCCAGTGCCGGCGCCGGCGGCGGCGGTGGCGGCGGACAGCGCACCCCCGGCCCAGCCGCCGGCGGCGGCCGAATCGAGCAGGCCGCAGCTGGCGGCAGAGACCGAGAACGAGGTCGGCACGGCCGGGCTGGGGCCGAGCGGTGCGCCCACGCGGCCCACGCTGGCGTCGCTGCTCAGGAACCACACGGCCGCCGGTGAGTCGCCAGCTTCACTAACCCCCTTCCCCGCCGCGGTGCCGCACCACCAGCACAGCCATCTGCTGGAACGGCGCCGAACTGTGGACTTTGGACGCCAGGGGGCTGGTCGACAAGACACTGCACACTAGTTCTTAGATGCTTCAGTTCTTCTACCCTTTACTCTTCGGTTTCTTACTAACCTGAGCACCTCTTCTGGACTGTGTAGCGCACGGTGAGTTATGCTACCTATCAGACCGACTGGAGCGCTCCGGCTGTAGTAGGCCGGATACACGTGAATGGTGACTGACGGCATCCTCACAGCACTTGACTGACGGCATCTACACAGCATTCGTCACGTCGCATCGTGACAGGGGTCGGACGTTTCAATGGTATTCAGCTCCTTCTACTGGTACGGGACTTACTATGTCAACAATACCTCCCTCATCACGTGCATAAGGCAGCATTGCATAATGTCAGTCGTTTCACATGCTCAGCCGAGATTGTAGAGACACCGTTTCCAGCAACGGGCCACAAATTCAAGGCCCACATGCAGAGCCCATGAGGCCACAGGCACCCGAGATGGCAACAGCGCTTGGGCGCCGCCGGCAGGCTGCTTGGAGCCGACCGACTTTGCGTGCCGCACGCTGGGAGGCTGCGTGCCGGCACTGTCGCGCTGCGACCGGCTTCTGGACTGTGCTGACGGCAGCGACGAGCGCGACTGCACGTGCGCCGACCGGCTGCGTGCCCAGTCGCTGCACCGCAAGCTGTGCGACGGCGTGGTGGACTGCCACGACTCGAGCGACGAGCAGATGTGCGGTGAGCAGGCGGGTGGGCACGCTGCGCAGACGGGCTTCACGGGAAGGGAACAGGGGGGGGGGAGCATGCAGGCTCACCGGAGGGGGGGGGGGGCACCGGGGATCTGCTTGGGTTCAGTAAGGCGCTCCCACACAGCTGTGCGATTAAGAGTATTTGACATGGAGGTGAAAACGGAGGGCGTGAGGTGAACTCCGCGTAGAATAGGCGTCATCGGAACTAGACAGGATCGCTGCGATCTTGGAGTTTGGTTTCAGAGCAGGCAGGCTCAGCCGCGAGCTGCAGGGAAGCTCTTTTCAGATATAAATCAGCATCAGTGAACTCTCCTTCCCGACTCATCCGTGCCCATAGCTCAGCTTTGCCGCCTCGTGACCCATTCCCCTCACGCTGGCAGAGTGGTGCCGGCCGGATCAGTTCATCTGCCCGGAGGCGAAGCAGTGCGTCGACCGCAGCGCCATCTGCGACGGACACTACGACTGCGCCGACGGTGCCGACGAGCGGCGCTGCGTGACAATCGCGGCGGACGTGGCGCAGGCGAGCGCGCCCGAGTACCGGCCGGAGGGGCTGCTGCTCGTGCGCAAGCGAGGCGTTTGGGGCCGACTCTGTGCCGACCAGCTGGAGCGGACGGCCCGCCAGATCAAGGGCCGCTGGGCAGCCCAGGAGCTCGGCAGGGCCGTCTGCAAAGCGCTCACCTACCAGTGAGTGGGGAGGGGAGAGAAGAGGTGGGGGGGGGGGGGGGGGGGAGAGGCCTGCTGGCGTTTTTCGATTGGTGTGTGCGTGCTGAAGTGTTGGTGTTTTTCTCAAGGATAGCAGCACGCAGACGGGTGCTGTAGGACAGGGAAACTTTCTTCGGCTCCCCCGGTTTTGAAAGCGCGCGCTTAAAGAGTGAGTCGCAGTGATCATAAAGTGAGTGCATTCGCTATATGTCTAACTGTACAATCCCGGCACGGGAACATCGGCTAATTTTCACCCACAACCAGCTTAAGACTGGTGGCACCTACGTTTAAACATACGTTGAGCAGGCGGTCTTATGGCCTGTACATGATACGATCGGAGTGCTGCGATGCTCATCGCCTGGACGTGTTTCAGGGACGCCAAACAAGTCCGCTCGGTGGGACCGGAGACACCACCCGCAGAGACAGCGGACAAGCTCGCGGAACCCTTCTACCGACTGCTGTACTCGCCCAGCTCCCTGCTACCAGAGTCCGAGAAGTAAGGCCACCACGCCATCTCGCATGCCGTACGAAACTGAACAGGTGCGACTTCATTCCACCTTTCGCGTTTTGGGTTCGACGCCTCGACGGCTAACAATTCGGTGGCCTGTCGCCGAGGCGTACCGAACCTCACGATCACAAGAGCTGCCCCCCCCCCCCCCCCCCGCCGCCCCGGTGCTCGGGCTGATCTCACGCGCGGTCGGTGCCGCAGGGCGAGTCTGGTGTTCGCCGAGGAGCGGTGTCCCCGCCAGACGGCGCTGCACGTCACCTGCGACCAGCTGCGCTGCGGCCTGCGACCGCGCATCAAGCAGCGCCAGGCCAGGTGGGTCTGTCGGGCTGGGCGGCCAAATAGGCGCTGCTGGGCCGCCAGACCGCGTCACAGGTCTGCCGGCTTCCGGGAGCGGACGCACCCCGGCCGCTTCCGACTCGGTGTTTAGATATCAGTATAAGCGAGCTCACCGCTGGCTGCTCCCATGAGCAATTAGACCTCAGGCGTGGCAATTACTTCAGTGATCACAAACGGCAAGGGTAAGTACGCTTGGGGTGCTGATGTCTTGTCGAAATCAGAAGGTTAGACCTGCTTCCGGAAAACGACGGTGCATTGGCCCCGAACCACGTGGTTTTCCTGTTCCGATTTAATTGCGTGGGCACCACCATGGCTTGGATATCACGAGCTAGACCCCACTCTGGGAAGCCCGGCCCACCATAACGAAAAACCGCGGCGTGAGCGTCTGCGAATGGCGCACCCATCTAACCTCGCCGCTGTGCCACTCAGGATCGTGGGTGGGGGCAACACGAGCCCGGGCGCGTGGCCGTGGCAGGCGGCCATGTACCGGGACGGGGAGTACCAGTGCGGCGCCACGCTCATCTCGGACCGCTGGCTTGTCTCGGCCGGACACTGCTACCTCAGGTGAGCGCCCATAGATGGCGCAAGCAGCGCTCTTGGCCGACTTGTAGCCGTTCTGCAGACGCGTACGGCTGTTTGTTCATTGCGAACTGGTATCAGTTGTAAATTTAAAAGGCCAGTACTTCAGAGTTGAGGGTGCAAAACATGCTAGGCAATATGTGTAGACCAAATATATGTTCCAGGCGGTCCAACAAGCGCCTGATAGCTTTTTTCGGACGAGCGCTCAGGGATGCAATCCGCTGCCTTCCGCCAGATTTCCTGGTCCCCTTCAAAGCCCCGGCTGAACGATCCCCCCCCCCCCCTCCGACAGATCGACCAGGCGGTTCTGGTTGGCGCGGCTGGGCGCGTACCGGCGCGGCAGCTCCCTGCTCTCGCCGCACGAGCGGCTGCACGCCGTCTCGCACGTCATCATGCACCCTGACTACCAGGACGTCGGCTACGTGCACGACATTGCACTGCTGCGCCTCAAGGAGCCCGCCCAGTACGTGCTGGCGCTGTTTGGAGGTGACGCTGGGGGGCGCGAGCCTGTTCTGGCGACGCACATCTAAGTGTAGATTGGTTGGAACGTGATTCCGGGATGGTAGGAGACCATTGAGTTGTGAAATCTACAGGTCGTCGAGATGCAATAGCTATGATTTTCTGGAAGCACTGCAGCGACGGGCGTTAAGCCCGCTAATCACGCACGCGGTCTCTTATTATCCTGACGCTATGCCACGGGAAATTCCAGGATGAGCGACTTCGTAAGACCGGTGTGTCTGCCATCACCCAACGCGCCGATACAGGACGGAGCCCTCTGTACAGTGGTCGGCTGGGGCCAGCTGTTTGAATCCGGCAGGATATTCCGTAAGTACTGCAACGCGAGACCGCGAACCGAAGACCACCGATCAATGGCACAATTTCTCCATTATATTTCATTGACTGACGCATGCCTGCTGTAACACGTGGTCGAATCCATGTCGTCCTCATGGGCGACTGTCATCTGAAATGCCAGCAGTGATCGGCCACAGGCAGACGGCAGCATCAGCTAGCACATCTGCACTTCGCGACTGACCGTCGGATGGTGTTACTTTCAGCCGACACGCTGCAAGAGGTGCAGCTACCGCTGATCTCCTCCCAGGAGTGCAAGAAGCGCACCGTCTTCCTGCCGCTGTACCGCATCACCGAGAACATGTTCTGCGCCGGATACGAGCGGGGCGGCCGCGATGCCTGCCTGGGCGACAGCGGCGGTCCGCTGATGTGTCAGGTGAGGACCGGCGGGCTGGGTGTCAGGTCAGGACCGGTGGACTGGGCGACAGCGGCGGTCCGCTGATGTGTCAGGTGAGGACCGGCGGGCTGGGCGACAGCGGCGGTCCGCTGATGTGTCAGGTGAGGACCGGCGGGCTGGGTGTCAGGTCAGGACCGGTGGGCTGGGCGACAGCGGCGGTCCGATGATATGCCAGGTCAGGATCGGCGGACTGGGCGACAGCGGCGGACCGCTGATGTATCAGGGCAGGACCGGCGGGCTGGGTGACAGCGGCGGTCCGCTGATGTGTCAAGTCAGGACCGGCGGGCTGGGCGATGGACCGTTGACCCATCAGGCTGAAGATTTTCGTCGGGCGGACTGAGCTGGGGGAGGGGGAGGCATGCTCGGACCGGTGCTAGGGGAGGGAGGAGGGGGGGGGGGGGGAGGGAGGCTCGGACCGGTGCTGGCCCAGCACCGGTCCGAACCTCCCTCCTGCCCTGGTTTGAGGCGAGCTGGACATATTCCCATGTTTTTGATCACCACCGCGGAGTTGGTGAAGTTCTGCGGGGACAACGGGTCACGTGGCGTAACGCACGGAGATAACCTAACCGGCCGCTGCTGGCGTATGACTAGGCTTGACCAGACTCGCTCGGCGCCCCACTGCCAGCCGGCCGCCGTCGGCTCCCGTCACACCGTCCGTGCGCCTGCCTCAGGAGCCGTCCGGGGAGTGGACGCTGGCCGGGGTGACCAGCAACGGATACGGGTGTGCACGCGCCGGCCGGCCCGGCGTGTACACCAAGGTGGCCAACTACGCCCAGTGGATCGACCAGGTGACGGCGGGCCGGCTGCCGTCCGAGCAGCGGCACGGCTGCCAGGGCCACAGGTCAGTCCAGGGGTCACTGCAGGGCGACGGCGCAGGTCGACGGACCATGGCGGCCTGGATTGTACCCGCGGGTCAGGTGCCAGTGGCTCACTGGGGCAGATGACGTGTCGACGTCCTGTTTGATGCAGCCGACATGCAGCATACCATGCGGAGACATTACGGCAGCCGCGCTCGACTGGGACATCGCACAGCGTTGCGCGGCCCTGTGGCTGACACGATATGCTGGGCGCAAATACAAATAAAAAATAAGCGCCGACTGCATAGCCCATACATGACACGACGTTTATCAGCGACAATCGGCCGACACCATCGCTGCCACCACAGGCTGATGTGCGCCTGCCGTGCTACCACAGGCTGACGTGCGCCTGCCGTGCCACCACAGGCTGACGTGCGCCTGCCGTGCCACCACAGGCTGACGTGCGCCTGCCGCGCCACCACAGGCTGACGTGCGCCTGCCGTGTCCCCCAGGTGCCCGCTGGGTCGCTGCCTGCCGGCCAGCGACGTGTGTGACGGCTGTCGTGCACTGCTCCGACGGCAGCGACGAGCAGCGCTGCCCGGCCGCTGGCGCCTCGTAGCCCTCGGCCCACAGCTTCGGCCGGGGCCAGGCCGTCCGGCCGCCGCAGCCACGTGTACAAAGCGGGACAGCGCCGGCCGGCCGGCCAACCACTGGTGGTGCGATTGGTGCCGGCGGCGACCGCTGGTGTAGACGGCGCCGCACCAGCAGGGGGATGTGGTGACGGCCGCTTGAGGCGACACCACCGCCGCCGCAAGCGGGCCTTGCCACCTGCTCCGCCTTGTTACAGGATACTCAAGAGTGTAGACATTTATCGGCATTCTGCGGCGCGTGAGAGCGACAGTGGGAGTGCACGCGCGAGTGTGGGTGAGGCGCCCAGCGGACACAGCTGTGGCGCCGGCCGCGCTCTGTACAGTGACCGCAGCTCGGTCTGACGCTGTATCGCGGCGCCCAGCGGACACAGCTGTGGCGCCGGCCGCACTCTGTACAGTGACCGCAGCTCGGTCTGACGCTGTATTCTATGAAGGACGTCCAACGTGGCGAGCGCAGCGCTCGACACACGCGTAACTGTTGTTACACATGGCCGGAAAGACGGCCGATCCCCGACCGCTCGGCCGTGTGCTGTTGTAATACACGCGCGCACACACACACACACACACACACTGTTCAATACACTGTACAGCGCTATGGAGGACGAGGTGTGCGGCCGGCGCACGTCGCTACGAGCCGGGCAGGCGGCGCGCGCTGACGCTGTACGGGCTGTGCAGGAGGCCGATCAGCGTGGCATCCGCCTCGAGCAGGGTCAGGTCTCGCCGCGCCCCCAGGAACAGCGACGACAACTCCAGGTCGTGCAGACGGACCCGCACGCGCGCGCCGATCACATACTCCCTGCGCGCCAGGATCGGCAGCACTGACACCGCACCATTGCAACGAAAAACGAAAGCAAAGAAAGAACATGACGGCTTGCAGCAACAACCAGCACAGATCACACTAAGAGCCTCTATACCTAAATTCGCATGTGATCACTGCTTAAGCGATATATCGTTATAAAGCATTCAATCAATCACGAATAATTTACACCACATGAATCCTTCATTGGTTATTAGGGCCTTCGGGTGAAGCAACTGCTGAGGTCATTTTGCGCCCAAGTCGTGCGAATCAATTACACCCAGAACAACAGAGCAACAATGAAATCCAACCGGACCGAGGTCTTACATTATAAACATCATTACTGCCAATGGTCCAGCCTAGCGATGTATTGCGCAATTCAAACATTCCGGAAGCGTCCCAAGGCGCTGTTCAGCCGCAGTTACGGTACAGTAAGAGAGCGCGTAGCGCGGCGGGGCCACTTACTCTCCTCTGCGGCCAGGTCGGGGGCAGACGCAGTGGAACTTGCCGCCGAAGTCGATGTAGAGGTCATCACTGACTGCGTGGAAAATCTCGCCTTCTACGACCTTGCCGGCCGGATCACCCATCTGACAGAGCGGGTCACCATCAGTATTATCCGCTTTAATTTCCATCGGATTTACTGACGCTTGGAATTGGGCAGCCATATCGAAAACCCACCTTTATGAACGGCGAGTTCCTCAGCAGAGTCAAGAACGGTGCACTTGGGACAACTGGCTCCGATTTCGGTTGTGTCATCTCCTCAAACTTCTTGAACGATTCAGCAAAGCCAGTGGCTTTTGCCTCTGCTGGGCTCTTTAGGGGCTGCGCTTCTTCGCCTCTCTCCTGATCGCCGGCCGTCAGTAGGCCAGCTGTTCTTGATAGGCGGCGACATCTCTGAGACTGTCCCTGAACCACGGAAAGACTGATTCGCTTCATTAGACAGCTGGCCATGATTACCTGTTGAAAACATGAAAGGAACAAACAATGTAAATGAAATGGAAACAGGTTGATGACATGAGGAGATTGTAAGTACACACAGCTAATCATGGCAGTGATGTTAACATTTTTCATGTTACCTTGATGAGCATGTACCAGTGTGGATGAAAAGGTTTTCATTATAGCAGGAAAGACATATTTTGCAAGTGTGTAACCTGAAAATCCTGCAAAGCACTACCAGTGCTACCTCTATCTTTCTTTAATACATAAGTTCATCAAATATGAGTCAAAGAACTTATTTCCTGTGATGGTTCTTTAGGCCACACTCATATTTGAAGCTACAAGTCTTATTCATGTCTCTCAGTAGAATAGCTGAAGGAAATAGGCAATTCATTCCATTGCTGTATGGCAGTAGGTCTTGCATGCTGAGCAAACTAAAGAATATCATTACCACTCTATTTCCAGTTTCGTATCAATTTTTTACTTACCATTCTCAACACTACTGTAAGTAACAAAAATCACTTAACTTTCAACTTCAGCAATACATGACATCTTAAAAGTGACTGTTTGGTTCAGATCCTTCAAAAACAAACCATAAGCACATGCACGACTATCACCACAATACACATTTTGGACATTGTTGAAGTACAAAGTGCAACTTTACCTCATTTCAAAGGGACAGCAGGCCACAGGGTGTTTACCAGCTCACTGGAGCCTACTACTGGGCTACAGGCATGACAAAACACGACTGGATCTTACATTGAGAACAAAGATCTCTTGCACAGTACCTGCCAGCTGGCAACCAGTACCAGCTGTTTGAACAACATGTATGCTTGTACTGAGCTTTTGAAGATGTGGTCATGAAGTGGAGCACATATTCCTTTAGGGCTATGTTGAGAAGTCAGCTTAAAGGAAGCAAGAGGCTTTTGATGTGACAGACCTTAGTTTTCCACAGACCTGACCAGAAAATTCTTCATCAGTGAGGTCCACTAGGCCATAGCCATGTATGGTGCATTTACTAATGTTTAGTTTGGGGTCACAGTAGACCTCATACTCCTCTCCCACCAGTGATGACGCCTTCAGAAGCTTTTCAGTTTGGCTCTGTTTTTTTTGTTTTAATCAAGAGGCTTCCAACCCATAGGAGGCTTGCCTTCCCTTCTTTGGTCCATGTACCAATAACATCCTAAGTCCTGCCTAAATCCATGGCCATCCCTTTGATCTGATAGGTTTTCCACAATTCATGGTAACTCTAAGGTATGAACCAGCATCGCGATACACGATGTCACTCAAAAAGTTCTCCACATCTTCAGCTCAGGATCGCCTCCCAGGCCGACTGTGCACAATCATATCTCCATTCAGCACTGTCTGAAACTTGGGTGCTTCTTGGTGTTTTTAGCCCCAAGACATTTTGTTCTCCACAAATATATACTGGAAAGAATGCAAAAATTTCTCTCTGTGAGAAACGTCAGATGGAGGCAAGCTGTTCCTGCAACTTCGACAGCATCGCGAGCCACACTCACGATTGGACGAGGGATACTGCCCGCGGGTTACAGCCGAATCTCTCTGCCATACCACACATAATCTTTCCTTGCAATGCATTCAGTGCCCAGGTCTGTTGCTGCTCACCAGCACATGCTTAACTCACGTACCGTCCAACGACACCAACGCGCTCACACACCGGACTCAATCCCGCACCCAAAACAACGGCGCCTCTTGACGTACCAGGGAGAAGCGCGGAGAATATCTCGCACGCCGCACAACTCAACAGTTTCTGGATTGCACGTATAAATCATTGTAACACAAGAAAAATTGATACAAAAGTATATGAGGTAAACATTACATGTACCTCTAAATATAAGGAGAATTAATCATATATTGATGAATAAGTTATTTTTCATTCTTTTTCAATCTTACTTTTATAGAAGTTTTGTTGAAAATTATCAGAAATGGATATTGTATGGAGCATATAATGATGATGTTAACCATCAACCCAAACACTCACTCGGGCATGTGGAAAACCAAGGCTCTGCAAGTCCTGGGCTCTTGGCGAGGATTTAACATTGAAGATAAGGCATATTCTCCACCAAGAAATCTAAGATGAATATGTGATGAACACACACAAAAGGGTCATCAAACAAAAGAATAAAATTGTTCTATTGATCTACAGAGCATCCTCACACAATCATGATCTGAGTATAAAACTAAAGCAGGGTTTCTTGTTCTCCATTGAGCAGAACTTCTTCTGGTGTATTTATATGATTATTCACATTTTTCTAGATGTACCTTTTATTTTAGCTGAAAAGTGATGGTAGCTCAGCTGGTTTGTGGTGTAAATAAAGGCAAAATATAAATTTAGTTCAGTGTCATACAATGAAAAAGTATTGTATCAGACTCAGCACTGAGTAGATGTAGTAGTGCTAACCTTATGTGACTGGATTGCTCTGTGAGGATGAAACAATTCCTCCACCCCTGCTGCGTTGGCATCTGAGCCCTGATCATGCAGCAGCCTGATGTCTCAGGTGGTGTAGTTTTGTACATAACTTGGTAGAGCAGGTGAGCAGAGAAATCTTTCATCCCCCTGAAATAGAGCAAACCATGTTCTTCCTGATTTTCACCAAGTTTTTTCTCAGAGATGGGGAAGGATTGACATCCTATCCAACTAAATAGGGAACTACAAACTTGTTCCCAATAAGTACATCTAGGTCAGTAAAAGCCTAGGTAGGTATCACATTGCCCCAAAATATTTCCTCTGGGTAAGAAAGATTGTACCTGGGCTAGAATGTAGCTGCACTAACTACAGTGCCCCAGACGCTCCTATTTATGTTGTAGCTTGCATGACACTTCAACCATAAGCTTAACATTATGGAGCCCAGGGAACAGTGCAACACATGCACAACATTTTAAGCATCTGCCTCTGTCAGCTTTTATTGAGACTGACACCTTTACAATAGAACTATCAATATCAACAACTTTCTATCAGCTCCATAGCTTTAAAAAAATCCATAGGTGCATGCAAAGACTTAGGAAAAAAGCACTTGCTTAGGAAGCTAGAAAGTCTAAGAACTGCAAGCAGCCAATCTCTAATGGTCTTCAGTGATTACTTAGACCAGCCTGAGCATGGTGTTTACTGTCATCTGCTGCTAAAGAATGTTCTTTAGTGCCAGCTGTGAATGTATTGCAAATTCACTTGGGTTATTTTGTTCTCACTATAAGCTGTGCTTTTAATATTTTTGTTCTCTCCCCCAAGAGCCAAAACCAAATTTCAGATACTGCCATTCAGCGCGTCAGCGCTAATTTCCACCCCAACCCTGATCAAGATTTGGAAAAATTGTATTAGTCTGTCAATGAGCAATGGAATAAAGTAGACACTTGAAAAACAGCATCACAAACACGATCAAAAGAATCCACCGACCGATGATCTCACCAACAGCCTCCACCATACACCTTCCCCGAATCGCCGTTGTACGCAGAGTACGCACCACGCACGCGCACGGCCCAAATCCGCCATGTACGTATTGTCTGCGGCTGAAGTGGAGCTCAATTTACTACCATATAATGTAATCCTTGGTACACCCATAACTAGTAAAGTAAAACTAGTAACTAGTAACCTTAATGCAAGGCAGCTTGGGTGATTAGTGAAATGGCCTTAGTGGCTGGCGGCTGATGCGCTCATCAAATTCCAAGCATCATCAGAAGCAAGCACAGATGACATAGGCGAGTAAACACGGCGTATCAGTGATTACTTTGGCAAGTTTCCATCGTGCTAAGAACGACAACTAAACATGGCACACACCTTTACACCTTTCCAATGAACATTTCAGCGACGAATGACCGGCCGGAGGTCGCATTCATGGGGCCCGGTCCGCGGAGCCGGGCACTCCAGTGCCAGTCAGTGTACCCCGCGCGGTGATTAGAGAAGTCCTGAGTTCACAAGGGCCTAGATGTCTGTCAGACACCACCAGTGACACACAGTCGGCTCCGTGGCAGCATAGGCCTGAGGGCCCATTTCCAAAGCAATGACAAAGCCTGAGCCAGGGACTTACATTGGTCGAGGCCCTGGCGTCTGTCAGGGCTCCAGCGCCTAACGGGGGCCATATGTTGGCAAGAGGCCCCGTGTCGGCCAGAGGCAGTGTTCAAGGAGACCCGAAGAGCCTGGCTGGCCCACCGGACCCGACGATCAAGAACCTGACTGGAGGATCTAAGGGCACAAATAGCTGGTCAGGGCCTTATTCAGGGGCCCTGGTTTGCAGGGACGGGCGCTCAAGTGAAAGTATGACCCCTGAGACGATTAGGGACCTCCTGAGTCGATGTGTCCATCTGAGCACTTGAGACCCATTTTCCAAGCAGGAACGAGGCCGGGCCCGGGATTTTCAATGTTGAGGATCTCTGACCCAGTGAGGGCCTCCTGTGTCGGTCACAGGTCACGGCGCCTACCAAGGATCTTGTGGCGGCAAGTGGCCCCGAGCCGGTCAAGAGCGGTGTTTCGGGGGGGGGGGGGGCAAAGAGGGCTGAAGGGTCTCTTGAAACCCAAGATCAAGCGGCCGATTGAAAGGCTGCAGCGCCCAAAAGGCCTAGCTGCAGGTCGCATTAAGGACCCCTCCCGTGGGACCGTGATATCCAATGTAAGTAAGAGGGCCTCTTGTGCACCGATTGGGGACCCAAGACAGGGCGTTTCCTTGTGTCGGCCAGATATCACTAGCACTGAAATGTCGGCTCCGTGTCGCTCTGAGCCTTGGGGGCTCATTTCCCAAGCAGGGACACGGCCGGGCCCGCGATTTACAGTGGTCGGGCCATTGGAACAATGCCGGGCTCCTGTATCGTTCAGGGGTCCACAGTACCCAACAGAGTATTCTGTGCCAACATGGAGGCTGGAGTCGATCAGGGGGAGATTTGCTTAACAGGGACGGGAACGGGACCCCGAATGACAAAAGGCCTCTTGCGTTAGTCGAGGCACTCTGGTAATGAAAGGAAACGCGAGAACTTATGGTGACTGTTCACGCTGAGATAATGGAGCTCAATTCTGCCAAAACTGTGCCGGTCAGGGCACCGTGCATAACGGTGGGCCCTCCAACTCAATTCCAGCATGAGACTGTTAAGCTGAACTGAGATCTATTTACCAATTACCAAATATCAGGGACATCAAAATTAACATTCTGAAGTGGCCACCGTTGGCCAAATAGCCGATGTTTTTTTGCAAGCATGAATAATCCATGCAGTGATGTCAACATCCACCTCGATCGATTAGGCCATAAATGTTTGATGAGAACTTCATCACGGCACTAATAACCGTTTCCACTTCAGCACGGTAGACAAAACTATGAAAGCAAGCTACGTAAGTTACCAACTCGCGGAGCGATTTCGCAGAGCGTGTGTACGGTATGAGTTCTAGGGCGCAGTTTTTGTCGCGATCATCACGCCTTAAATTTAATAAATGTTTACCTATGGCGAGTCGGCATCAGCAAGCTCTTTGTCATATCTTAGATGCTTCATATTTTTATTGGCAACCGTTTATGGTTGTATTTTCAATGACGTTGCGCTCTTAATGGCATGCCTGTCCATGCTGGGTATCGATTTAACGCTGGGGTTGCAGTTTATAAGAAATAACAAAGTTTGCGTTCGGCATAAAAACGTGAGGCGCTCCGCTCCGCTGAAAACCTAAAACATGAGAAAAATATTTGAGGCAAGACAGTTTGTGGAAAGCTTAACATGGCTACGAATTACGGGCTGGAGAAACTGGCAACAGATTGCTGAACCAAAAAGAAGCGTACGGCGGCAGAACTAAATCTCACAAATTATGAACTAAAACGGAGGGATGCCTTATTTCAGTAACAAATAGTATATACCTATTAACCCTCACACCGACTCGCCGTATTTTCTAAAGCGTACTAATTGAGGGGTCGATGCAAACCCCCATGGTGTTACCAAACTAATGGAGATAGTGCTTAGCAGAACACACCAGTCGGTTTGTCCCGAGATTTCACGATTGGTACTAGCTGCATATTTTTAGGTGAAAGATTGACGCGGCACGTTTTCAGCTTTACAGCATTATACATATGAGACTATACCTCGTGACGACACGAAATCTAAACGGGCGTGTTAATTTCAAAGTCTAAGTACAGTGAAGCATATCTCTAAGTGGTTTGAGCATATATATATGATATATGGCTTCATTAATGTAACAATGTCTGCCCACCGCGCGCGTTCCGCGGCATCGCCAGTTGCAGCCCACCACCCGTAGATCGCCGTGCAGTGATCCAGAAGAACATCCGCTGCTCCGAAACCAGAAAAACTAAGAACACGTTTTTGGGGTCAAAACACGCACGATGAATGCAACATAGGCTACTGAAAACTGGCCGCGATTGCACAACGTGTCAGAGAGGTATCCTCAAAAAGCCTGAGATGGGCCGCACCGACCCCCCCCCCCCCCCCACCACATTCCTATCAGGGCGAGGGTAAAATAAATCGGATGCATGCCGCTCGCCAACTACTTATTTTGACGTACAAAAAGTTAAGAGGCGAGGGATCTATAGAGAAAACGCCTGCAAGTTATCAATGATTTATTGATTGAAAAAGGAATGATTAGACAGAAGTGGTACGGAAATATGACGGAACACTCGAATTTATACTCCAAAAATGAAACAAATCAGACTGTTTCATTTAACGGCGGCGGCTTCTGCGGCCAGATTTCTTGCCGGTCTTGGAGCGGCTTGTGGAGCGCTTGCGGTTACCACGACGGCGTTTCGACGCTGCAGGAGACTTAGACTTGCGACTGCGGCCTTTCCTAGTCCTCCTCTCTGGAGTCCGGGATCTTCCTCGAGCTTGCTTCGCTGTAACGTTGGCGGTCAGCCATTTATTCTCTGGTCCATTCTTAAATCTAGGGGCGTTCTTGGTCTGAATAAGCTTTCGGACAATCTCCTGAACCCTTGGCTCATCTTCTTCTTCTGCACACATGACACTCTCCATCACATCGGAGAGCTTACCCTTGCTGTTGACCCAAGCTTTACGGATGTCTGCCATCTCCTCTTCACTTCCCTTATACTGCTTCGAAAACTTCTTGATGTCATTTTCGGTTACACGCTTAAATTGCTTGCTTAATATTTCGCGAATTTTGAGATCTTCTGGCTTTACTGGGGCCTTCTTCTTAACGGCTCTCTTTGCCTTATGCATTTGCTTTCGCATACAAACTGGAGCTGAATGATTGCTACCTGATGCAGCGGACTGTTGCGAAAACATAATTAGGTATATTTGTATTCACAATAGCTTATAACTATTATTTATGAAAGCCTCTCACGTTTCGTTGTCGCTTTTGAACTGTTCAAAAACAAGACGCAAAAATTCGTTGTCTCGTGAAAATTTGGCTCGAAGTCATGTGAATTTCACGAACGCTTTCAGTAAAAATATGTTGACAGTAAAAGCTCAACTGTGTACGAAATGCCGCATAGGCGGGAAGCTAATTTTGTTGTTTTGTTTGTTTGATTCTATACACCAGCTCGTATGTTGAAGATCATAGGCGTGGGAACATTTAAAAAAGTGAGGGAGGGCAAGCTCAGGGCGTACTCCAGGAACAAATCCTGGAAAGCAAGCCGGACAACCGGGGGGGGGGGGGGGGGGGGGAAGTGTAGAGATGGAGTTTATTATCGCTCTTTATTCAGATATCATGGCTGCTGTGCTAGAT